AAAAAAAAAAAAAACCAGCAGTTCAGGGGCAGCTCTTGGGCTGAGTATCTGTGTGCATGTGTGGCAGAAGAACCCACCAGTGGTATGGGTGGGGGGTGTCCACTCACTCAGGCACCCCCTCTAGTCACCAGAATGGAGGTGCACAAACAGTGGGGGGCCAATGAACATATATCAAGAAAAAGAAAATCAGAATAAAGCAAAGTGTATTGTCCACCTTTGCTCCGAGATTCCCGCGGTGTTTTCCTGTGGTGTGTCTGCTCCCCCACTTGGTCTTGCCATTTGATCTCACCCAAGTTGTTGGCTCTGGGCCTCTGAAGCCGGCAGATTCAAAAGTACACGATTTCTTACTTTTGCTACACGTTCCACTAGCTATAAGCCTTCAAACCTTTTAAATATTCCTATCTATGTGGTTCCGAGTTTTGGAGGTCTGCCCTGAATCTGCTTTGCCTGGTATTTTGTGGTATTGCTGGCGGCGATCCTCAATGCCCCTCCACCCTAGCCACCATCAAGCCCCACCTCTCCATAGGGTTTTCAATGACTGATTTTTCTGAAACAGATCACCAGGTCTTTCTTCCAAGGTGTCGCCAGGTGGACTTGAACCTCCAATGTTTTAGTTAGCAGCTGAGCATATTAACCCAGAGACTCCTCACTCTCACCAACCAGTGCACAGACATGCTGAACTTTGTAGTCTGACAGAGCAGGCTCAGTGCTGAGGCAGCAGATGTCCAGTAAACAGGAGCTGCTACCCTTCTGGGTGGCCCAGGGGTAGTAATTTGGTTGGAAACAAGCTCTATCAACTAAGCTCCCAGCTGGACCTGTGGTTATAGCCTAGACATTTCCCCTCAGGAATGCTGTCCCCATGGGCTTTTTACCTGACGTTCTCTAGCTTATTTTGTCCCGTCCCATCACCACTATATCCAAGACCACGTGGGCATCACAGTAGCACTGCTTCCATCCTTGCCCAGAGCCCCACTCCCTGCCATAGATTAAGCCATTCTCCACACAGCAGCAGAATGACTCCTCCAATGGCCCAGACCACCCTACTCCTACCCTCAGATGTCCTCTCATGGCTCCTCTTGTGACCTCTGAGGCCATAACTGACCTGGCCCTGCCTCGCCTGCAGTGCTTGGCCCTGGAGAAGCCATGTTCAGCCCACCTTCCTGCATCTGCACTTGTGGTTCCCTAACCTGGGTAGGTCTCCCCAAAATCTTCATGTGTCTGCCTCCTTCCTGACAGTCTGCTGTTGTTAAGTGTTGTCAACTCAATCCCGACTCAGAGCAACCTTGTCTGGATAGGGTTTCCAAAGAGCAGCAGGTAAGTCTGAACTGCTAATCTTGTGGTTCAAACCGACCTTGAGGTCCAGCGCATTATCTGCAGCACCACACCAGGACTCTTGACAGTCTAGCATTACCTTAAATTCACCTGTTTAGAAGCGTTTCTGGCCTTCACCAAGAAGAAACCCTGTCTCAAAATTCCTTCTCTTTCTCTTCCACTCCCAATTTCTTTCATCACGCATTCTACTGGTTGAAATAGAAAATAGCATCACCTGGAGTCCCAGGGCAGCATCCCAGAGCTTTCCCCACATCTCCTTCACCCTCATACCCCTCAGTCAAGCCAGTCTCCAGGCCCTGTGGATGCCACCTCATGCCCACCATCCTGCTCCTCTCCTCTGCCACCATCTGACTCCAAGTCCACCTCGTATTGGACCACCTCAACAGCTCCCTGTCTCCCCCTGGGATCCTGTGTAGACTATTCTCCACACTTCAGCCCAGGGGATCTTCCTAAAGGGCAAAGCTGTCCTGGTATCCAGACTCCTCACGCTAGGCTCAAAGTCCTGCCCCCTCTGAACCTGCCCAACCTCGCCTCTCCAACTTCCTAGAAGCAGCTGATATAGCCCAGCTTTCTTGAACAACTTGCAGAAACCTTCCCACATTCGGGGCCCTCCATCTGAGATGGCCTCCTTCAACCTTTTCTGCCCAGCAAACTCCCAGTCTTCCAGACTAAGGCTGCTATCACTTCTTCTGTGGAGTCTTCTTGACCACCAGGTGGGGTCAGTCCTCTATTTCACGCAGCATTATGTGATATGGCCTGGGGTCATCACAACTGTGTCCCCCCACCCCAGGCTCTGAGCTGGGGCTGCTCCTCTTCAGTGTCAGGCACAAGGGGACGTATGAATCCCATCTTTATCAGATTTCTCCTACCCCTCCTGTGTCACCCCACCCTCCAGTCATTGCACGGACTCTTCTGGAAGCCTGTGTCAAGGACTGACCTCTATCACTGTAATCATCGACAAGGATGACTTCCTCCAGAAGTATGTCTGGTGATGTCTCGAGGACACTGTAAACTGTCCGAAGAAGAGTTGACCAGGCTTCATTATAAAAAGCTATGACCACAGATGTTCTCGGCAATTTCTCATAATCGTACTCCTTCTCCATGCACCTGCAAATACAACACAACTTTAGGAATCAGGAACCCACGGCTGACTGTGAGTACCAGGGCCAGGCTGGTGCTGGGGATGAAATGAGGAAGGGGGTCGGGCCGTGATCTCTAGGATATTCCTGGGGAATTGGAAATAATCTACCAAAGGACTTTCCTAAACCCTTCCTCGCTGGCCCCCCGCCCCTTATGCCCTCTGGAGCACCTGCAGACTCTAAGAAAGGTTCTGACCGCGACATCCAACAAGCTTCAAATCAGTGTTCAGATCTGAGCACCACGCAGACTGAGCAGAGTCAGGCGGGAGGGAGATGTTAAGTCTATCATCGATCACTCTGCGTATGTGCGCACCTTTCCAACCCCACCATCAGGCCTGTTCCCTCAGCCTAGGGAGCCCTCTCTTTCCTTCTCTACTTGGCCAACTCCCTGTCCTCTTTCAAGAACAACCCAACCTGCGTACCCCTGAGCCCCCAGAGCTCCTCCAGCACCTCGTCCATGCCACACGTTTCTTCCAGCATGGACCACTGACAGCACCGGGTTACACTAAGCCCTACTGTATCTCACTACTTTCTCCCTAGCATCCAGCAGTGTCTACACTTAGTAGAGGTGGTATGCTAAGCGAATGAACTAGAATTGAGCTTAGAATGTATGCGCACTCCCTGGAGGACTCTGCAGGGGGCACTAACTCCCCAATATCCATGCTACCCCTGCTCCACTTTGCAGCACCCGATGGGAAGGACCTTGCTGGCCGTGATAGGAACCACTCCATTTAGTAGGGTTTTCTGCTACTTTGTGCTGAACCAAGTTCCTTGGTTGACACAAATGTCTATCTGCAGAGAGACCAATGACAAACTCATGGTGTCATGGGACTTGACTGAGGGGTGGAACCTGGAAACCATCAGCAGGTCTCGGTTCTGGAAGTGGCTGTCAGCAAGATGGCAGGGGCTGGGGGTAGAAACCCAAAAGCGTGCCACAGGAACACCCAAATGATCAGGTTTGAATGCTGGGCTGGACAAAAGGCTGGACTGAGGGACCAGTGAGAAATGTGAGAAGGGGACAAAGGCCAGGTAAGAAGGCAAGCTTGCAGATGCAGAAGCTACGCAGGATGAGGGGTGAAGCACAACTACTGACTGCTGACCTAGGCCCGCGACTCCCCAACCAGTCACCAAATGCCTTCAGTTCTTGCTGTTCACAGCAGTTGTGAGCGATCAAGTCTCCCCAAACATTGAATTAGTGAATGCTGAGCTTATCTGAAACCCTGAAACTGAACCCTGTGAGCTTCTGGTCATAATATTTTTATAAACTAATCAATACCCTAAACCTTGTTTGATGTGTCCTTCTACATAAAGAAAGACACTTTTTTTGTGTCATATATTCTGTTGATTCACTGATCCTGAACATGATCATGCCCAACAACATAATAACTCTGGGAGTCCTAAACAACTCTGGGAGTCCTGGTGAGGTGCTGTGGGTTAATGTGCCAAACTGCAAAGCCATCTGAACTACAACGTCGGCGGTTCAAGCTCACCAGCTGTTCCTCAGAAACCCTGTACACAAGGTCGCTATGAGTCAGAATCGACTCAATGGCACTTAACAATAACAAACAACTCTGCCCTCCACAAGACAGGTTAACACCTCCTTCTGCTTCAGAACATCAGCCCATTGCTGTCAGTGGATTCCGCCTCATAACAACCTGGCCAGACAGACTCACAGTGTCCCCATAGGGTTTACAAGACTAAACCTTAGAGCACACTGCCATATCGTTTTTCCTTGGAGTGGCTAGTAGGTTGGAATCACCAACCTTTTAGTTAGCAGCTAAGTGCTTTAATCACTGTGCTACCAGGGCTCCTCAGGAACAAGAGACAGCTTCAGCATGAAAATCACCAACAGAAAGCACAAGAGGTGAGTACAGCAGGAGAATGTGAAGAGGACACTTGTGTACCGTCTGAGAGCTGCGTTTGACTTCAGTGGAGAATGACCGCAGAAGTACTGTGTTTAATGGTCAAGGGGCTACAAATATATTTCAGCGAGTACAGAAATTCACAAATAACAGACCTGTGAACGACGAGGATCAACTGTGTTACCTGATGGGTCACTCGATGGGAGGAAGAGTGATAAGAACAATCCAGTGAACAACAAATCTGATTTCATGAAGAAACAGGCGTTATGGAAAAAGTACATGAAATAGTGAAGAGCTCTTCTAAGTCCAGTCTCTCCAGTCTTCCCAGTAACTGCATGAGCTACTCAACATCCTTCTCATAAATCCCTTCTCTGCCTCAAACATCCAGAGTCTGTTTCTGTAGCCTGCACCTGAGAATTCTGACCAGTGTGCCTCACTGCAGTTCCCCGCACCAACTCTCCTCCTCCTCCATCCAGCAACCAGAGCAGGTAACTGAAGCTGCAGGTGTGGCCTTGGCACTCTTAACTTCCTCCCAAGGCTTCATATCTTATGGGAGAGAAATGCAAACCTCCAGCCCTGGTGTTTAAGGATCGGGTCCTGTCCATAGCTCTAATCTCATTGGGTGTGGTGGCTTAAAAATATACCCAGAATTTACCCACAAGAAATACAAGCCACAATATGAGTAGATATATGTACACCAATGTTCATAGCAGCACTATTTACAATAGCAAAAAGATAAGACAGCCAAAGTGCCCATCAGCTGAAGAATGGATAAACAAACTGTGGTACATACAGACAATGGAATATTATGCTACTTTGACGAATAACAAGGAAGCTGCAAGTCACCACATAACATGGATGAACCTTGAGGACATTGTGCTGAGTGAAATTGGTCAGTCACAAAAAGAGAAATACTGCATAGTACCACTACTGTAAAAGACTAAGGGAAAGAACCCATACTAAAG